TAGCGTAGAGTGATATTGATTATTTTCTAGACACCAATAGTAAAATCGTATGTTGTAATGTTGATTATTGAGAAAAGAAAGAGAACTTTTGATAGAATAATGAAATTGTGCAAAGTTTACTTTGAGCAAGTTAAAAAAGATAGGGCTATGATGGAGGAATCAATATGAAAAAAAATTATGTTAATGATTTATAATAAAATGTTAACTAATAGACTAAAATAAATATTATAAAAAGCAAAACGAAGGATGATCTATATGTTTTAGAAGCTGAACTTACTATATCTTCATAATCAAGTTAGAAGCTAAAGCATTATGATTCTTATTATACATTGTTACTAAACTTAAACTTCATGGAAGAGTTTTCACACAAGTAATGTTTGAAAACAGAAAAAAGTTACAAGCCAAAAGTCTTACAAATTATTGTTATCAGTGCTACCAAATAAAACAAAGCTTTGGAGGTGGTTGTAGTAGAAACATTTAGATGGAAAGGACAAAATGAGCAGATAAAACTTTTATGTTGTGGCATTGATGTTGTCTTCAAACTGGTATGACGATGATTAGATAAGTTTTCTTTTTGACATGATCATCTATTGATGGTCCATTGTAATCATGAAAAGCTTCCTACATCATAAAGATGTTTAGAAAGAATTATTGTGAGATAAAAATATAGCAAAAAGAAAATTACATTATATTTAAACAATCATGCTGTGATAGCTTACCAAGTTAGATACCATCGCATGGATTAAATTAACGTTATATCCAATCTCATTAAAATTAGATCTCACTTCACTTACCTGCATAATATTGCAATCATATTATTAGTAATAGTATAAATCAAAGAAAAATTTCATGGATTTTGTGCGGCTAGGCTGGTATTGACTGGTAATTAGGGTCGATTAAATTGTCCTTTTGAAGTCCATTCTAAAATAGAATACAAAAGCAGCAAATGGCATGATGGAAAAATAATGTTACATAATAAATGTTAGTTAAAGAATTACCTCAATGTAATATTATGTTGAAATATAGAATTTCAGCCTCTTCCAAAGTAATCATCATTAAATTAGAAAGAAGTCTCCCGAAAACAAAATATAATCTAAAAGAACAATAAAATATTTTAATAGAAAAGTCATTGTTGGTTTGAGCTATATCATATTAATTTTGTAGTTATAAACAAAAGAGAAGTTTTTTGTGAAGATATTTGATTGCTCATTTAAATTATGGTAGACTTTTGGGAGAGTTCATTCTAAATTTAGTGATAAATGCTTTGGAAGAGTCTCAAGCATCATTACTAATATTTGACTCCCTAGATGTATCTGCAGAAAAAAAGTGGAGATACTAAGAGTTGAAATAAATAATTTTATATATTGTTTATAAAATTACAAATCATAAAATTATTTACTTACTTCGAATAATTTTAGCTAGAAGGATGTCAGTCTTCAAATGACGATGATTTAGTAGTGCATGAAGTCCAAATGTAGGATATCAACATTTAGGTTAATTATAAGTAATTAAATCATATTTCTGTTACAACTTATTTAGAATGAACATAATTTACAAATTGGGTGCAATCTTGAAGTAAGAAGAACACAAGCAAATTATAAATCAAAATTCCAATGGATCTAGTTATATAGTGTTCATACATAAGAGAACAGAAAAGATATTCCATAATAAGCAAACACGAAAGCTCAAATGAAAATGTAAAATTTATGTAAGAGTGAAACTTCCATCAGTGCGACACACTTTGTAAACCACGAACACTGGGATTTCATCGTCCATAAGTTCAAATACACATGTGTCACCTATTTAAAGCTGTTTATCCTTCACATATTCCGCCCAACCAACGGTAAAACGTCACACATAACCATTGGTTCTTAGATTCGTTCGTACTGACCAATTATGATGTGAACTATCATGAATTTGAACATTCTGGACAAATTTTGGTAGATATAATCAAGCGAAGGCTCCAGGTACATACTACAAAATAGAATAACAAATCTATAAGTTGTGAAATTTCAAATTAGACGAGAAAAACAAATATGAAAATGTTTCATACGTGTAGTTCAAGAATGATAAAGGTAGAAGAGATTTTAGTGAAAGAGAAGCTCACAATTATTCTATGACCATCGCGAGCAGCCTCTAATGTTACTCGGAAAATAGGATTACCACTATGTGAAAGCTCTACTACAAATCCCTCAGACTCATACGTTACTTCTACGCCTGAATGGTCAAATATCAAAACATCGAAAGTAGAATTTCCGTTGTATTCAAAGACAATAATATAACCATTTTGCAAATTATGGTGGTCAAAAAACTGTGACCGGATAGCAGCAAGATATATGTTATTATCAACTCTTTTGAGTTGTATGCTACAGATAATTCTATCATAACCAATCAAACGTACTGCATCAGTAAGGTCCTGTCCTAAGCGTTGCACAGAAGTTATCGGGATCAACTATAAAAAAATATAACTCTCGTAAGGAATATTATTTACTCTATATTTAGTTGTAGAACTTACAAATTGAATACTACAGCCCAATGAATAAATGCTAACAAAGAGATTATTTTAAAACTTATCAAACGATTGTTATGGTCCAATGAACTTGTGATAATTGTAAAGAAACGGTGTGGTAGATCAATCCTGTTTGACATAATATTTATAGTACTGAGACAATTGATAAATATATACGTTAAAAGTTCAGCAGTAATAGAAAGTTCTTATTTGTTTAAAGAAAAAAACACAATAAAAGAGACAATTATCAACAAAATTGAAATACGATATTTTATTGAACTTATGAGCTGCCTTACTTTTTAGCATGCTATTGACTTAAAGATTGATCAATTTGACTAAAAAGTTTATTTTCGCCTTAACTTGGCTTTAGGATATCAAGATTTTTTTTTTCCAGTTCATAATAACTATTGCATTGTCGAGTAACTGATGTTGTGCTGTTGTTTTGCTTTTCTGGATGGTAGTACATAATACTAATTCCATTAAAAGTTTTAAATATTTATTTCAACCAAATACTATTTTTCTCCGTCGAAGGCTATCTTATTCATTTAACAATTTATTGTTGAAATGTTTTAAGAACTTCATTTCTATGATACTGTTGTAAATATTCAATAGAAAAATTTTCATTTTTATTTGCTACATTTAAATAGGTCTTAGGTTGAATAATATAATTTTTTTTTTCTATTCTTCCAATGCTAAGGATGAAGAGAAAAAAGGGAACATTTAGTCGAAAGATTATTTAATGGAAAAATTTAGTATTTGGCAGATAAGTTCTTTTTTTGTATTAAGAATATTAGCGAGACCTATTATATTCAACATAAATGGTAAAAATATGGAGAAAAAACCATTAGAAGTTAATGAGAAATAGAGTTAACTCCATGAAATTTTAATAGCAATAAATTAAGCAAATGAGGATTAAAAAAAATAGAAAGAGATAGTTAGTAATCAGTAGTAGACTCTTAATAGAAAGAGAAACAAAAAGAGAAGTAAATTAAAATGAACATTAAAAAATATAATTTATCAAGACTTAATATATTTATATAATAAAGAAGGGTTAAATAAAAAATAAAATAAAATTACCTGCAAAAAAAAAAAAAAATTGAAACGTATTTTTGATAATTTGGCCATAATTTTGGCTACGATTATCAGAATCGCGCCCATAACTCCAATTCGAAAAGCTCTTCTCGACACGCACGTCATGACCATCGAGCTTCGCTGGGTGAGCATCGTTTTCAACGTCAAAATTCGCTGTTTTCCCTTCAAAATCTCCAATTATAGTTATTCTCTTCCTTTTATGGCATCTTTTATGAAAACATACTTTCTATCGTTCTAATTATATTAAGAAAATTATCGAGCAAAAATAATAATCACTAACAAAATAATTTACTTTTTAATAATAAAAAAAGAAAGACGAATTATACGTATTTTTGAATACACACGTTTGATATGCGTTTAACTGTTTTCGATATTTATTTAGATTGTTCGATGTATCTATGATATAGTTCTCAAAATGAGCTTTGTGAAAATATTGAACATTTTTAGATTCAACTACCGTACAATCGTTGATAAAATTTTAAAGTTAACTTGTTATCAAAAAATTTTATTTTTAAGATCATGTCTCTTTTTACACTAAAAATAATTTAAAAGTTTATTAGAAAATTTTCTAAATTACGTAAAAAAAAAAAGATTTATCCCCTTTATATATACATTATTGATCAATCTTTGCAAATTTGACCACAATGAAGATATTTTCTATATAATAATAATAAAATTTAGTTCAAATGATATCAGTAACACACAAATTTTATTGAATTGACCACCAATGACGTAAGTAACACACAATTTCGTTGAAATTACTACTAACAAGTCAGTATTTTTTTGTTTTCTTTGAGGACAAAAGCGGAAAACAAAATACGTCGTAAATGAATAATAACCATTGAATTCCTTCTTTTATAGTAAGAGGGATTAATGTAGGCATGGCATAATGTCAAGTTTTAATCAATCACCAATCACGAAGACTCAAACAAGACATGATAGAATTGGAGAGACATACAATGAATACTCAAGTGCCTCAATTGGGCTTGGACGCTTCCTTCTGGAAACTAGTGTCCTTACCTTAAAAAGGAAAGACGACCACTCTAGACGAACTCTACAGTCCTTCAAGGAAACGATCATTATATCACTACTAAGAAATGACAACGGCACCGTGCAACTCTATATGTATAGAGTAAAATTCATTTATTATCCACGTTGTCCGTAAAATCATGCTCATAACCACTTAAAAGTACCACCAAACAGGCAAATGGTTTTAAAATACAAAAGTATTATATGTGACAATAGTATCATGTTTTTAAGCCCCCGTTTGGCCCCCATTAAATTACATTCTATTTTTCTCTCTCCTATTTTCAACCACACAATCTTTTAAAAAATAATATTACACGTGAATCAAATTTTTTTTATTCTTTTTCAACTACTCATTTTTTAAAAAAACACTATTCCTCCCATTTCCATTACCAAAAAATGGGGATCAAACGGGGCTAAACTATAATTTGAGCATATAGATAGATATTCATTTTTGTTACTACCCACAATGTTTATGTAACAAATATACAGAGGAGGAGACAGCGTGGAGAAAAGAGAGATGGCAGCAGATCTCTAGGCCTTTTAAGACGCTGGGACCAATTTTGGTCAACTTAGAGAAACACCAACAGAATATAAACACCAAAGAAAACACACATGTATGTATATCAAGGAAAAGGAGAGGACTATCATCTCATCTGTTACCTTCTTGATTCTAACCCCCCTTTCATCCTCATCCCTTCTTCAGAACTCCACAATAGTTGGCTAAAGAACTTGAGACTTTTTGCAAATTCTTTCGTTTTACAAGATCATAGATTGAGAAATGGGAACTGGTTGGAGAAAAGCTTTTTGCACAACAATCCCAAGAGACAGTAGAGAAGCCATTACTACACCACCAGATGAGCAGAGCCCGCCTATTGGTTTTCAATCGCTTGGAAGCAGCAATTCCTCTACTCCTCGGTTGCGTTGCAAAACCAGTATTAATAACAATACAAATGAAAATGTTGGTATTTATGCTCAAAATCCATCAACCAAAGATGATCTCATTAGTCCAAAACTCCTTCAATGCAAAACAACCCCAAAATCTTATAGCAAAAGTAAAAGCTTTGGCTCCACCCCATCTTCTCCAAGATCCCCCTTTTCCATCCTCAAGAAAACCCTTCGCCTATCCAGAGTAAGATTACATACTTTACATTTATCCATCTTCAACTTTTATGAGTTATGTCCAATCTGGCTTTGATTTAATGTTTTTGCTTTTGGATATGCAGAATAGTTGTGGAGTGTGCATGCAAAGTGTGAAGACAAGCCAAGGCATGGCAATATACACAGCTGAATGTTCCCACACTTTTCATTTTCCTTGCATAGCCACACGGATTAGAAATCAAAACTCCCTCATTTGCCCAGTTTGCAATACTGCCTGGAAAGATGTCCCTTTACTAGCCAATATCCATAAGCTTCAAGAACAAGCACAGTCTGATGAAACCAAACATAATAGAGTGCTACAATCTCCAAAAATCCCCCAACAAGAAACAAGGGCATTTGATGATGATGAGCCACTGGTTTCACCCTCAGCCACAGCTTCCACAAAGTTTGTTATTAAGGAGAAAGATGCTGCTGGTGAAGAATTTCAGGGATTTTTCGTGAACACCATTTCGAGCAGTAGTTCTTATCTACAAGACAAAGATGGCCGAAATGTTGTGGTGAGTTTATTGCCTGAGGCTGCTGTTATTTCAGCGGCCAGAACCCACCAGACGTACGCTGTCGTTTTGAAGGTTAAAGCCCCTGCCATGCTTCCGCCACCACCGACTCACGTTCTGGACCCGGCGCGACGTGCGCCTATTGACTTGGTTACTGTTCTTGATGTAGGTGAGAGCATGAGCGGAGCCAAGCTTCAGATGCTGAAACGAGCCGTGGGTTTGCTTATTTCCTCTCTCGGCTCGGCTGACCGGCTCTGTATAATTGCCTTCGCAGCTAGTCCAAAAAGGCTCATGCCGCTGAGGAGAATGACGGCTCAGGGTCAAGGATTGGCTCGGAGCATCATGGACCGGCTTGTCTGTAGCCAAGGTAGTAGCGCCTGTGAAGCCTTGAAAGCAGCCACAAAAGTTCTTGACGATCGGCGGCATAAGAACCCAGTTGCAAGCATTATTTTACTATCCGACGGTCAAGATGACAGTGTTCAAGCCAACAACACCGCTGCCGCCGCCGCTACTTACCAACGGCGAGAATCGCCCCAGGTTTCATCCACTCGTTTCGCTCACGTCGAAATTCCGGTGCGTTCATCTGGGTTTAGCCCCCAGCCAGCCGTGGACGCCTTTTCCAAATGCGTTAGTGGGCTATTGAGCGTGGTTGTTCAAGACTTGAAAATTCAAATCGGCTTCAGTCATGGCTCAGATCCAGCCGAAATTTCGGCCATATACTCCTGCCATGTGCGTCCTACGGTGATGAACTCAAGCTGCATTCTAGTCGGCGATCTCTACGCCGAGGAGGAACGGGAATATCTCGTGGAGATGAAGGTTCCAATTGTTGGGCCCCACTCACACCACTATCATGTTTTGTCAGTTAGATGCAGTTACAAGGACCCAGCAACTCAGAAACCAATCTACGGTGTGAAGCAACCCTTGCCGGTTCCCAGGCCACGTAATACTGCCACTGGATCAAGATCCTCCATTATTGAACAACGGTTAAAAAATCGTTTCGTTACAGTGCGCGCAATTGGGGAGTCTCGGCGATTAATTGAGCACAACGAGGTGTCGAGCGCTATGCAGCTGCTGTCATCGGCTCGTGCGCTAATGATACAGTGCACATCAGAGTCGGCCGGCGAGTATGTTAGAGAGCTGGATATTGAGCTGGCTGAGCTGCAATGGAAACAGACGACGATGATGATCCAACGGCGGAGAGTTATTGGGAGGGAAATGGGTTTTTTGATGGATAAGCGTGAGCAGCCACTGACGCCGACATCGGCTAGGAGAGCCGCTGAGAAGCTGGCTAAGATGAAGAACAGAGTGAGCGACTTGCACGGCTTTGAAAACGCTAGGTTTTAGATTTTCCAAGAAAATAAAAGAGTTATTCTTGGTGTACATAGTAGGCGTCCGACGTCCATAAGACCCTTACGAACTTGGTGATGTATATCAAGAATAATTCAAAATAAAAGGGTTATTCTTGGTGTACATAATAGGCGTCCGACGTCCATAACACCCTTACGTTGGTGATGTATCAAGAATAATCCAAAATAAAATGATTGTAAAATAGGATTGAAGGTATCTGGGCAAAACATTCAAGATATGCATAGTGTCATAGACTAACCAATACTAGTCCGGCCCAATTTCACTTATTGTTAAGAGAAAATTTGGCCCAATCTTGCTTTTATTTTTATAAGTTCAAAAAAGTGATTGAAAAATAATATTAAAAATGATGAATCAATCCATAAAAATCCTAAAAAGTCACTTACTTTCTCTAGATTACACATGTCCAGACAGTCTTTCTCTAGATTACATGCCTTCACCTCCATCGTTGTAGATGATTAATCATCTGTTTCCGAAAGAAATCGAAGAATTTCTTGATAATCGCTACCATTATAATGTGTTTTTATGATAGAATAACTTTTATTTCAACATGATGATACATGTGGTTAAGTGGAGGTAGCTGGAGTACTCTGACAATCAAATTTACGAATTCGACTTGCCATTATTCCTCCTGTTGGTCATAGGACACATGACTTCAATCGAACATCTATGGAATCATCATGTGGTGGTGGTGGTATAGAATGGTGGCAAGGGATAGGAATATTCCAACATAAAAGTCTGACTACAATTTTGACGACAAAGATGAGATTTTT